CCCCCAACACCCTCTCCCCTCGGCCGCTGTGGGCCGCGACAGACCGCGGTCATGACCGCAGCTTCGTGGCTGGACCGCGGTCGTGCCGGCGACCGCGGCCGGGGGGGATTCATAGCCCTGCCTCCGTCGGACGGAATGACCGGAAGGGACATCATGTTAAAGGGAGATGGGAGCACAAGCAGGGCAAGGGCGGACAGACGGAGGAGCTGAAGCCAAACGAGGTCTTCTCTCTCTCTCTCTCTCTCTCTCTCTCTCTCTCTCTCTCTCTCTCTCTCTCTCTCTCNCTCTCTCTCTCTCTCTCTCTCTCTCTCTCTCTCTCTCTCTCTCTCTCTCTCTCTCTCTCTCTCTCTCTCTCTCGCTCGCTCGCTCTCGCTCTCTCGCTCTCTCTGCCCCTCTCTCTCTCTCGCGCACGCGCGCGCGTGCACCAAATCGCCCACTGTCTTCAGGTATTCGCCTACCTCCTCATTTCCACTATCTCCCCCTTCCTCGTTGCGGCTCCCCTTCTCCTACCTGATATAGACGCATGGTGAAGCACATCTGCTAAACACCACGGTCCAGTACGAAGCACAACCTTATTGACGTCAGACTGGCAAGGGGGAGAAACTCAATAGCAGATGGGGTAAGCAGCATGGAGAAGGAGATACTTGTTTATCCACTAAAGAAAAGCTGGGAAAAGCACACCCTCCCCCTCTCCTCCACTACGGATCTCCTCCTCTTCTTCGTTAGGAGCCGCACCCTCCAGCATCCGACTCGGGCTTTGAATCCCCACCTAATACAGTCGGAAGTGCGAGCTCTCACGCTGCCTCCAATGTCTGAAACCGGATCTGAGTAAAACCAGATATAAATAAACAAAGAGCAACTCATTATCCGATTGCCCCTATGTCGCTCCTTGCCACTGGAGGAGAAAATAAGACGAAGATGGAGGAAACAACGGGTTAAAAGAGGAGAACAATGTTGTCACCAGCTGTTGCATACTGTAACGTGCAGACCAGAACAAGAACCGACCTTTCAATACGAAGTATAAGATAGCACAGCGGAAGACTGAGATACCAGTGATCCGAACAATCAATGTTGCAGTGCAGCCTTGAACATACATCATCATCATCGTTACATGGTGTGAATGGGGCCTGGCGCTTCACACAGGAAGACAGCGCCAGCCCATACCATACACAGACGAAGAGGAAGGGGATAGACGAAGAGGAGGGGGAAGATGGGAATGTCGTCAACACCGAGTCTTCGGCATAAGCCCAAATAGTCCCTCGTCGAAATGTCTGAATCCCAAACGTCAAGTCAGGATCCAATGTCGTCAAGTCTCAAGTCACAACTCTGTCTCCCTCTGTCGTAGTCTGAGAAGTCAGGTGGCGAGAGGGTGAGAAGAGAAGGTGGACTTAGAAGAGGAAGAAGAAGAACTCTCTCTCTCTCTGTGTCCAGTACTAACCTGTGAAGTTGGCGCCTTGATGCAGGTACCACGAAGATGGAGCTGGAGCGATGGCGCCACAGGTAAGTAACACTAGCCTCCGCCTGTCTCTCTCCCACTCTACGATCTACCACCTACTGGCGCCCAGCGCTGAAGACTACAGCTACAGGTATGGCGCCCAGCGCCGAAGACTACAGCTAGCGCTACTAATACTTAGCGCTGGAGACTACTGCAGCGCTCCTCCTGAGTGCTGCGGCCGAATCCTGAAGACTACCAGTGTCTACTGAAACTACCTACCCGTGAAGTGCATGGGAACCTCCTATGTACTACGGGTGTGCCTCTTGAGCCTGCCGAAGGGAGGCAGGGGCTGCAGCTGCAACTCCTACTCGAGCACGTGAGGAACAGGCTATTTTGGGCCTGTTCCGCATCCCTGTTTCCGTGCCTGAGTCTCAGGGGCAGGTCAAAACAACGAGGGCGTGAAAATGGCCCTCCGTTTCAGGCTGAAAACTCTGGGTCTGAAAAGACCAAGAAATAGGCTGAAACGAGGTAGGGCCTGCAGGCCCTCGTTTTTCAGCATCCAGGCTGAAACGAAAGGGGCCTGTAAGCCCTAAGTTTTAGGCTTTTAGGCTGAATGTCCGGGACGGCCCCTGCAGGGCCCGTGTGGCTACGCAGTATGCCACACCAGCTCTGTCTCCTCCCTCTTCCTCTGATCAGTTTCCACGTACCCATCACCATATGAAGTATGCCGGCAATCAGTTTCACCCTCCTCCTGCTCCTCCATCTTCCCCCTCTCCTCGCCCGCAAATCTCCTTCTATTCCTGATCGCTCTGCACAACACCTTCTGTGTCTGAATTTGGCTTCTAATACGGCCAGGTACAGTCGAAATAACAACAGTCTCGCTGTCTCCGCTGAGTCTGATCCCAGTTACCATGCCAGGCTCGACCCAGTTACCATGTTGCAAGCCTGGCACCAGCACGCGGGATGACGGGAGCAGAACGAGCACAGACGAGCGTGAGGAGTTGGAGTGCAGGATGACGGGCAGTAGTGGGGCCCCGAGGAAAAGACAAAAGGAGATGAGGAGGA